GTCCGTCCTCCCTGGACTGACCTATCCCCTCCCTAACTCCCCACCTACACTCACCTTTACTGGCTCCATCCCCGCCTCTTCGACCTGTCAGTTTCCTCTCCACCTATCTTCTCCTCTATCCGTCTTCTATCCGCCTCCCCCTCTCTCCCTATTTATTTCAGAACCCCCTTCCCCTCCCCCATTTCTGATGAAGGGTCTGGGCCCGAAACGTCAGCCTTTTTGCTCCTATGATGCTGCTTGGCCTGCTGTGTTCATCCAGCTCTGCACCTTGTTGTCTCATGTTCTGGTTGATGTCAAGTTTCTGGAGTGTTGTGGCTCCACTCATCCAAGCAAGTCAGGAGTATTCTATCACAATCCTGACTTGGGCCTTCTCGATGGTGGACAAGCTTTGAAGAGAAAGCAGGGTGAGTTACTTATTACAGAATTCCTAGCCTATGACCAGCTTTAGTAGTCAGTGTACGCATATGGCTGGTCTATTTCCTGTACTGGTTAATGATAACCCCCTCAAGGATGCTGGTAGTGGGGTATTCAGTGATGGTAATACCATTGAATGTCAAGGGGTGATAGTTAGATTTTTGCTTGTTGGAGGTGGTCATTGCCTGGCAAAGTACTACTTATTGCGTTTTACTAAATGTTGTCCAGGTCTTGCTGCATTTGGGCATGGATGGTTCAGTATCTGAGGAATTATGAATAGTTCTGAATGTTGCACAGTCATCAGCAGACATCCCCAATTCTGACCTTATGATGGAGAAAGGTAATGTAGCAGCTGAAGAAAGTTGAGTCGAGGATATTACCTTGAGGAGCTCTTGTAGAGATATATTCAACTTCATTGATTCACTTTAGCTGTGACTATGAAGGCTCATGGCGCCAATAAAAACCAATCAAGCTTAAATCAATTGTTACTTGCATCTACAAGGATTTGGGAGTTAGTATCCTTCTTAATTACAAAGCTCTCATTTTAAGATGATGTCCCTTGCTTCTTGACTGCCCCATCACATCCACTCTCAACAGATGAAGATAATCAGTCCCAGAAGGAGACACCGGATATTGGCCCAATCCTTCTTTCTCCCAGTTGACATGCCATTTTTTGAACCTGAAAAGCGCCAGTGCACTGCAGTTGGAACATGAATGGTTATATTAGAAAATCAGTGAATTGTAAACAGTAATCATTAGCAAAGTCATATTTTAATCATTAAAGAGAAGTGACAGGCCTCTTTGACTTTATTTTTACCCAGTTATTTCCCATCTGTCCTGCATGCAATTTCACGGGTTAATATGTAGTCATTCCTCACCTCTGGCTTGCCCTGCCATTCAGTTAGATGATAACTGATCTACACTGCAACTCTGTTTATTCTCACATTCTCCTAAACCCTTGATGCTTTCCAAACCCACAACCTACAGCAGCATGGGCAGCAGGTGTAGGGGAATGGCCATTTCCCTTCCTGCGCACCACACCATAGTGGACATATAACGTTGCTGTTTAATCACTGTGTTAAATTCCTAGATCCTGACCAAATAGTCTTCTGGGAGTATTAACTCTACGTGAGCTCCCGCAGATCAAAAAGGTTATGCACTGTAAGCATCTGGGAGGAATGGACAAAACATATTGATCATGCTTGTGATATCAGTTTC